ATATATACATACATACGCAGGCTTATGCGCATGATAAGCAGTATTGTTAACCTGTCAAGAGCATCGAGAAGTCGAGAAGTCTGGTTCTTGGAACTCACCCAGACCAGCTGCCTCCAAGACCCTGGAAGGCCTGGCTCTGGTGGGAGTAGAGAAGGTGGTGCTTTTTTGGTTTCTGAGCAGTGAGGCGTCAGGCACAGAGTGCTGAGGAGAACGGAGGAAGATGGGTTGCTCACCACCTCCCTCTGGCTTTAGCACAACCTTTTCTTTGCTGAGTCAACTGAGAGGGGGCCTGGAGAGTTCCAGTGGTGTTTAAGTGGCGGTTTTAGTTTTAAGGATGTTCCCACCAGGAAGCTGCCCGAAGACTCGTGACTAAAAGCATAAGAAACCCAGGGTGGGCTTGAGGAAACCACTCTGCTTGGTGCATCTTGTTCTGTAGCATGGGGCAGTATTCCTGCCTTTGCAAGGCCTTTTGTGTTGCTAGTGGGTCAAGTGGCTCATAGCAAATGCCTGTTACCTGCCCACTTCCCTTTCCTGCCTACTGGACAGACCAGTCATGGCCCTGATACCAGCATGAAAGCCTTATCCCCTAGCTGCCTATTACAGTGGTGGCCACGATTCACTTCATCATCCCAGACCTAGGAGACAACCTCTACATCAACTGAAGGAAGACACTTTGGGGTTTTAATGCATGAAGTCACACAGGTTCCTCTTGTCTAAGCCAGGATTAGGACCTACTTTGTGTGGCCTGCCTCCTGAGCTCCACATGTGTGGAGGCTCAATGAAGCTGGAGGCTACACAAAGGACAATCTTATAAGGACCCGGACAAAGCTGTCTGTTAAATTGGCTAGTCTGTAAATAACTAAACTTCTGGGTAGGGTTCAAAGGGCAGAAGACAAAGCTGCCGCTAGAGTCAGCCTGTCAACAACTGGAGTTGGGCTGAGAACACTGCTCTGGCTCTGGAGGAAATCTCAGCCACACTCTACCAGTTTCAGGAGCCTCCCTGTGAGGGGGAGATGGATCCTTTATTAGGAAGTAGACAAATATATTATTGGTAGCCTTCTTGCTGTCGCCACCCACAAAACAGCCTCCTCCTCAGCACCTGACAGCCCTCCACTTCCCACCCCATAAACAAGAGGGAGTTGAGTCTTTGCAAAGCTAGACTGCAGGAGCTAGAAAAGGAGGGCTGAGTCATCTTCCTCTTCAGAGGAAACCAAAGTGGACCAGAGCCACAGAACAAAAGGATGTTCTCTAAGCAGATCATAGACTGCTCTTAGGAGGTACCAACCCCTCCATCCCAGAAAGTTCCTACTTTCAGCATCACAGGCGCCATCCCCTCTTCTCGGCATCTACGTATCTGATCAGCAGGAGTATACTAAACAGCCAGCATACAACAGAGGCATACATTCTCGCTGGGCCAGGGATGGAGCCACACAGACAAGGAGGTCCAATGAGGCTGGAGGTGGCTGCCTTTCATCTTAAGACTTAGGCTAATGTTCTCGGGAGGATAAGGGATGAGTCTTCAGAGCATCCTCTCTGGAGCTCCCATTTCTCATGGTGCCAGGACTAGGTAGGTAGGAGTTTGTTAACAGAGGCTTTTTCTTTATTTAGAGACAGTTTCATGCAGCTGAGGCTGGCCTCACTCATTATGGAGTTAAGGGGAGTTAAGGATGGCCTTGAACTTCTGAGCCTCCTCCTTCTACTTCCCAAGTGCTGAGATCACTGGCGTGAACCAACTTACTCATGAGACTAATTCTTTAAGGGTCCCTTCACCCACAGCTATAATTTCTGAAACCAGTGCCTTGTAGCAGAGGCACTCTTCTGCCTTCTCTTCTTGCACAGCGTTATTCCAGAGCATGGGTGATGCCCACAGGGCCCATACCACACCTAGCGGCAAGGAGAAAGCATGGGTAGTTCAGGACTCTTGCTCAGAATGAAGGCACATGACAAGGACTTCCAGATGCTCAGAGACCCACTGCCAAGCCCTGCTGCTCCCCCACAAACAACAAAACCAGCTGATACCCACGTCTGTGCATAGGCCCACATAATAGAGGGGGCTTTTATTACTTTTTGAAGAGAATAAATTCATACTGTCATAGATTATATAGAGCTCTTAATGCTCTGACCACTTGAGAAATCATATTACACCATGATGAGAACTAACAAAGCCAAACAAAATCTCTGGTCTTTACCTAGGGTACAAGCAATTATTTGACACTACAGAATGCAAAGCAAGATTCCGCACGGCTGCCTTCACTGCACCCTGCTGAGGTTGTCCTTGGTGTGCACCATGTTGTCCTTTCGCCCTTCAGGCAGATTAGCCCATGTTCTGTCGGTTGCCATAGCCCCTGGGATGGGTGTCCTTCCAGTCATCCCACTCTCGCAGTCTGTGCAGAGTTTTCTCGTCACCCTCGTCATCCTTTTGTTCTTGATCTTCCTGCTGCTGAGCTGCTCTTTTCAAATCAGCTAGCACAGGAAAATGAGATAGACGGGAGAGAAATAGAAGAAAACCAAAAAAAAAAAAAAAAAACATTAGGGGAGCTCAGCTTGGTTCTGAGCACAACCCCAGACAATGAGAACAGAGCACAGCTAGCTGCTCAGGGATGGCACGAGTGGGAAGAACATGTCTATTACTGAATATATTACATGCTATGCAATGGTAGCAAGTAAAGATGCCTCCAGAAGTTTCCAGAGAAACCAAGATCATTGAGGTGTCCTTTACTAACGGATTCTATTTCGGGAAAGAATCCTTGCTAAATGACCAACAACCCCTTCATCAAAACAAAAACAAACAAATAATCCCCACAATCCTACCCACCAGCAACAATAAAAGCCCTAGAAACCTGAGATCACAGAAGTTAAGAAATATATATGATTTGTGAATTTCCAGAGATGTATGTAGCATTATAGGTAATGATTTCTCTACCAATTTGCTCCGTTCATTTCTTAAGGGTAAAGAAATTAGGTATATGTATCTCCATAAGGGTTATGAGCATCAGGAGCCCTCAGAGGGCAGAAGATGCCCTGGAACTGGAGATACAAGTTGTTGTAAGGCACCACGTGGGTGCCAGGAACTGAACCTGCTCCTGCAGACAAGAGCAGTGAGTGCTCTTAATTGTTGAGTCATCCTGCTAGCCCCAACTTCCTTTATTATAGTCACACAATCTTTCCATGTATTTACTTTTCCTTGAATTTGGTAATGTTACAGAATTCTTACACTGTCAACCATGCTTAAGAATCAAATGAAAGAAATGGTTCCATGGACAGTCTCATCCACTCTGATATTTGACTTGAGTGTTTTCTTTGTAATTTCACATTCTTTGATAATTTTTTTTAACAAGAGTTTGAATTTAATTGCTGTAGGTCTTCAGGTTTCCAGTAATTTTGCATTAAATAAACTTCCTCATATTTCTCTCTGTTCACATCTCAATAATACAACCCCCACAGGATTTTCTAAGAAAAATATGTATATTTTGGGCTAGTGAGATAGTTCAGTTAGTAAATGCTAGTTGCACAAGCATGAGGACCCGAGTTCAGATCCCCAGCACCGACACAACAATACATGACCACATTTCCAGCACTGGGGAGGAGGAGATGCAGATCTCTAGTGCTCATTGACAAGTCAGCCTAGTTCACTTAGAGAGTCTGTCTCAAAAAAATAGACAGCAATTGAAGAAGACACTTGACACCTGATGTCACCCTCTGGTCTCTACTTAGATGCACATCCATGTACAAATCATACATACAAAGACACACACGCACACAGACAAACGGAAACAGACATACACACACCAAAGTCATAATAACAGGGCGGTCACACAGGCAGCGGCTGTGTGAAGCTGGGCTCAGGCAACATGTACTACAAGTTTAGCGGTTTCACGCAGAAGTTGGCTGGAGCTTGGGCTTCGGAAGCCTATAGTCCGCAGGGGTTAAAGCCAGTGGATTCCACAGAAGCACCGCCTATCATATTCGCCAAAGTCATAATAACAAAATTAGCATAGTAATGACCTAAATACGGATATATGAACCAAAGGAACACATAAGAGGAGATCCTAGAAGTAAATTCAAGAAGCTATGGCCAACCGGTCTTCACCAAAGGTGCTAGGAACACACCCAGGGGACAGTTTTTGCAGGAAATGGTGTGGGGAAATTAGCTGTCTATATGCAGAAGAATGAAACTAGATCTCTATTGTTCAGTTACAAAATACCTACTGAAAATAGTCAAATATCAGACTGAAAATATAAAATTATTAGAAGAAAACAGGAGAAATCACTTCAGACATTGGAAGAAGTAGGGGTTTTAAAACTGATTTCTTTGTTTTTCTATTTTATTTATTTAGTGTGTTTCTGAGGGGGAGGGTTGCCACAAAAACGACAACTTGTGGGGAGTGTTTCTCTCCTTCCACCATGTAGGCTCTGGTGACAGAACTCAGGTCATCAGTCTTGTATGGCAAATGCCTTCACCAGCTGAACCATCTTGCTGGCCTGCAAGGACTTTTTAGATAAGACCTCCTCCCCGTGGCCCCCACCTCAAGCATTGGAAACAAAACCAAAATAGACAAATTGGATCACCTCAAACTGCAATGAAAGGTTCTGCACAGCCAAAAAAAAAAAAAAAAAAAAGATCAACAGTAAAGAGGCAACCTGCAAGTTTGGAGAAAAGCCTGCATCTAGTAAGGAGCATATATCCAGAATATACAATAGCAAACAAAACAAAACAAAATCAAAACAAAGAAACCAAACCCTCCAAATAATATAATTTAAAAATGCGCACTAGACTTACTAGACTTAAGTAGACGTTTCTCACAAGAAGACATACAAATAACCAATAAATATATGAAGAAATGGTTAACATTATTAGTTACTAGAAAAACGCAAGCCAGAAGTACAATAAGACTCAGTTTTACTTCAGTTAAAAAGCTTATGATCAGCAGGACGGTGGTGGCTTAAATGCAGCACTCGGGAGGCAGAGGCAGGTGGATCTCTGTGAGTTCGGGGCCAGCCTGGTCTACAAGAGCTAGTTCCAGGACAAAGCTACAGAGAAACCCTGTCTTGAGAAAAAAAGAAAAAAAAAGAAATCTTATGATCAAAAATGGAAAACATAAATTCTGGAAAGGATGTGGGGAAAAAAGAACGCTTGAACATTGTTGGCGGGTTATAAATTAGTATTCTCACTGTGGGAAACAGCAGAGAAGCTACCTAAAAGTGAAAAGCACAACTACCATATCATCTAGCAATCTTGCTACTGGGCAAATACCCAAAAGAAATGACATCAGTCTGTCAAGGAGACATTAACCACTGTCATGTTCACTCACAGTAAAAAAAAATGCAATCAACCTAAGTGTCCATCATCTGAAGAACGGATAAGGAAAATGTGTTACAAGTACATAAGGGAATACTATTCAGAGACTTCAAAAGGACGAGCATCTTGTCATTTGAAGTGACATGGATGGAACTGGAGAGCATGAAATGAAATAAGCCCGCCATAGAAAGGAAAGTACTGCAGGATCTTGCTCATACACGGGATCAAAAAAGACTGATAGCAAAAAAGTTGAGAAGAACACGGTTTACCAGAGGCTGGAAAGAGTACAGGAGCAGGAGGGATGGATAAAAAGCATGGTCAATGGGCACCGAGTTACAGTTACACTGGAGGACCAGTTTTGGTATTCTATTGCATAGAATGATAACCTTAAATTGTGCTAACTAATAAGAGCTATGGGAGGCCTGGAGGTTAAGCTCAGAGGAGAGTGCTTGTCTAGCATATGTGAAGCCCAAGGTTCCACCCCTACGGCCACAAAAAGAGAAGAGAAAAGCTAGGACTTTGAATGTTTTCTTTTGGATATCTGCCCAGTAGTGGGACTGCTAGATCATATATTTCTATTTTTATTTATTTATTTTTTTAAAGATATATTTATTTATTATGTATACAACTTTCTGCCTCCATGTATGCCCAAACGCCAGAGGAGGGCGCCAGATCTCATTATAGATGGTTTGGAGCCACCATGTGGTTGCTGGGAATTGAACTCAGGACCTTTGGAAGAGCAGATGGCGCTCTTAACCACTGAGCCATCTCTCCAGCCCATCTATTTTTATTTTTTTTAATTAAATAAAATGATGGTTGTGGAGACAGCTATGTTTATCTTGATTTGAAAACATTATACAATATATACATATACTGAAACATTGAATGACACCTGTAAGCTTATACATTTTTTTTCCTATGTCAATTAAGAATTCAGGAACAAGCCGGGCAGTGGTGGTGCACACCTTTAATCCCAGCACTTGGGAGGCAGAGGCAGGCGGATCTCTGTGAGTTCGAGACCAGCCTGGTCTACAAGAGCAAGTTCCAGGACAGGCTCCAAAACCACAGAGAAACCCTGTCTCGAAAAACCAAAAAAAAAAAAAAAAGGAATTCAGGAACAATTTGGTAAGAAAGGCTTGGTTGTTACATGTACTAGAGCTACTGATAACTGCTGTTTTTGGGGTGCAGGGGAATGAACCCAAAGCTTCATAAACAGAGTGGGTGCTCTAACTGAGCTCCAACTGCAGCCTCCATTCTCTTCCTGTGGTCCCAGGAGTGGAGCAAACAGAGGGCACTGCACTTACTAAGCAGGAGGCTCTATCACCGAGCTACATCCCTGAGCCCCAATTATCTTTTCTCAAGCCAAACTGGCTAGCGGAAATGGAAGTTTCCCGATCCTTCTCAACACATTATCTAACTTTATCTTGACTATTTCTCTTCAGAATTAGAAACAGCTATTTCTCTGAGACATTCAGCTTTCTTTTGATAGGATTTTTTTTGTTGTTTTTTGTTTTTTGTTTTTCGAGACAGGGTTTCTCTGTGGTTTTGGAGCCTGTCCTGGAACTAGCTCTTGCAGACCAGGCTGGTCTTGAACTCACAGAGATCTGCCTGCCTCTGCCTCCCAAGTGCTGAGATTAAAGGTGTGCGCCACCACTGCCCTTTCTTTTCTTTTGTTTTTGACAGAACCCCTGTGGAGAGCAGGCTAGCCTTGACCTCACGTTGTCTTTACTAGCTGCTCTTGAGAGCTGGAATTCCAGGCCAATGCCACTGTACCAGGCTGGGAATGGTACTTCAGTGCCACAATTTAGACTAGCAGGTATGGTGACTACTAGGCCACTTTTTTCTAGTCTTTGCTAAAGCAAAGGTCTGTGCATTTATTATAAAAATATACATTTTATGTGTTTATATCAGGATTACATACACCATTGCTTATTGTTAACTTCCTTTTTAAGTTAAAAAATCCCTAGTTCTCAAAGACAGGACAGAGTAAGACTATCAGGCAATTACTCATCTGTACTCCCTTATATCGTACAGCCTTGAATAGTTAATTACACTAACACTGCCGCCAGCATAGTCACTCAGGGCTGTTGGGGCTCTTTGCATACACCTTTCTCATTTCCTCATTTTGAGACATAGTTGTATTACACGTTCATTCCTCCTTAGCTCCCACTTAGTACTGCTTCTGAGAATAACTGTCCTCCAGTCACCACCAATGGCTCCCACTACTGCGGTTGTCTGAATCTCATTTTCTAGCAAATTCTTCAGGGAGGGATCATGGGAATAGTAACTTTTAGTTGCTGGATTTAAAAAACCATCAGTACTCTTTATACTTGAGTTTTTCTTTATCAGATACAATATTCTTGGTCCTACTTTTCCTCTTTGGGGATATTAAGCATTTGCTACTTTATTTTAAGAGTTTTTAACAGATACGATATTCTTGGTCCTATTTTTTCCTCTTTGGGGATCTTAAATATTTGCTACTTTATTTTTTTTATTTTTTTAAAATATTTATTATGTATACAATATTCTGTCTGTGTGTATGTCTGCCGTCCAGAAGAGGGCACCAGACCTCATTACAGATGGTCGTGAGCCACCATGTGGTTGCTGGGAATTGAACTCAGAACCTTTGGAAGAGCAGGCAATGCTCTTAACCACTGAGCTATCTCTCCAGCCCCCTTGCTACTTTATTTTTTCACAGCATGAAGCATGTCATAGTTCACAGGTAAGACTTTTTTCCCCTCAGATGTAAATCACGTGCAAAATGTTGAGATGTCTATGACATTTAATTTTTTTAAAAATTTATTTGAACTAGTCTTAGTCATTCTGGGTGAAATATTTCAGGAATATAATGTTTTTTATTCGTTTGGTTTTTATTTTTTCAGACAGGGTCTACACCCTGGAGGCTGGCCTTATACTTTCTATGTAGCCCAGGCTGGCCTCTGCCTCAGCCTGAATGACAGGCTTTCTTATTTAGATAACCCCATCATCCATATGGCAGCTCTTTTTGCTGTTTTTAATGTCATTTTATCCAAAATCCTCTTTATCGGTTTCTTCATAGTTTTCTTTGTTTAAAAAATATTTAAGCTATTTTTTTCATACAATATTTTGATCATATTTTCTTCTCTCCCAACTCCTCATCATCTCTGTTTTGATTTTCGTCTTTTTGTTGTTGTTGATGTTCTTATTTTTTTTTTTCCTTTTTACCTGGTAAGACATTTTCGGTTTGGACTCATTTTTCTTTCGTTCTACTTCAGCTTTGCCAAGTCTCTCTACCCCATTTCAGATGGCTCCTCTGTGGTCAATGCAACTTTTCAAATAGTATTTTACAACCCATTCTAAAATATTCTTTCATATTTGTTCATTTTTGTTTTGCTGTATTTGGTGTTGTGAGACAGGTCTCACCATAGCCGAGGCTGGCCTGGAACACTGGGTAGCTGAGGATGGCTTTGTACATAGTTGTTCCTACCCCCATGTCCCAAGTGCTAGGGTCCCTCCTGCCTTTTGTTAGCCTAGCCTTCTGGAGTGTTTGCAAAATATCTCTTTTAGCCCCTTAATTCTGTGTGGGATTTGATCTTGGTAATTTTCCTTTTAATTCTGAAATATAATATACATGTCCCACAACTCATCTACTTAAAAGTTATATTCAGAGCTCTCCGACCACAATCACAATGTGTTGCTAACTTCTATGTGAAGTTTTTCTGAACTTTTAGGGAGGCTTGTGATCAAGGTGGTTATCCAGTTTCCCAGGGGCTCCACTCTGCTGCTTTCCCCCACAGTGGAGAAGTATGGCTTCTAGAATAGATACCCACTCTGGTTCTCTCTCGCTTTTTACGTGACCCTTCTCTTTCTTCTCTCTGGCTCTTGTCCTCACAAATTTTGATTTTACTTGTAGCAACACAAAACAGAGCCAAACAAAAAAGAACAAGTCTGAAAGAACGCTTTAAAATGAGTTGGGAGACACTATTGTGTAGGGAGGGGGGCCCTGCCTTGCGAGACCAGGTGGCTTAACTCCAAGAGCTCATTAAGGGCTGGAACACTCTACTCCGGCAGATTGTCCAATCATGCGTGCTTTTCATGTGCTTGGTTTTTACCCACGCAGCCATCTCACCACATTGGCTCAGAGTTTACCGGACAGCAAAACCTTCCCTCCTTCCAAGTGCTGTTCCGAAACTGGCCTCACTGCTGCCGTTACTGACTACGCTACTTTGAAACTCATTATTCTTCGCTTTTCCAGGTAGTTAGCTCCTGGTGCCTCCAGCACAGACGCCAGTAACCTGCTCATAAGCACATAGATGACCTGCCTTTTCCTATCTTTACTTTGTGGGTCACAGGGATTCACTGTCATCTATCTGTCTTGTAGCATTCAAGTTTATTTCGCATTTTAAGTATAAACATATGTAAAAAAGTAAAAGACAATGTGGATGCAGCCCAGTGAATTGTCACATACTTAACAGGCTCGTGTAACTGGTCCCCAGGCAGAAATATGAAATACTAACTTTGCAGAAGCCCCTCAGGTCCAACTACATTTCTGATCCCCAACTAAAGGCAAATACTATACTGGCTTTTAATCAGCACATACAACATGTTTCTCCTGTTTTGAACATCATGCGAATAAAATCACACTGTATACATGCTTTTGTATTTGGCCTTTCCACACACAATTAGGTGTGCTTCAGCCATACTTATCACTCCAGCTAGTTAACACAGCAGCTCATCATATGAATCCTCCAAAACTTGCTTATCCATTCTGGAATGTACGGGCACCCAGGCACACTGTATCCACACTGGGCTATTAAAATCAATGATGCTATGGCTTTATACTTTATGGGCACATTGTCCCTTGGGTGTATACCAGTGGTTCTCAACCTGTGGGTCACGTCATCAGATATCCTGCATCTCCAATAGTCACAGCAGCAAAACGCAGCTATGAAAGCAGTAACGAAGTAACTGTATGGATGGGGGTTGCCACAACATGAGAAACTGTATTAAAGGGTTACAGTATTAGGAAGGTTGAGAACAACTAGTCTATACTAAGAAGTGAAACCATGGGGTCAGAGTAGTATGCCTATATTCAATCAACTTCTGTGGAACCACCATCAACTAACTCTTAGACCTCCCATCTTTCCTGTTTCCTTCGGTTGAGCTTACTTCTTGTTTCCTTTGCTCCTTTCCTTGTTACCTTACTGAAGTAGAATCTCAGGTCGCTGGTTTCATTGTCTTTCCTCCCCAGCATTGCATTTTCAACATCATACATACTCCCCTCCGAGCACAGCTTCAATTGTATTCCTGCAATTCTGGCGCTCTTCCAGTGTAATTCTCCTTTGACTCATGGGTTACTTAAAGGCATGTTAATTCCTAGATATTTGGGGAACTCCCCAGGTATGTTATGGTCTAAGAACACATTCACTGTGATTTTGATTCTGAAAATCAGTTGAAAATTCTGATGGCCTCTATGTTGAATGTATCATGTGTATTTGAAAACGTTTCTTTTACTGTTGTTGGACATAGTTCTATAAATGCCAAATAGTGTATGGTGACTGACAGTGTCGATCAGATTTTTCTAGAGCCTTACTAGTACATAATTCTATAAATTACTAAAAAGATATTAATATTTTCAATTGTGTAGGTCAGCTTCCCACTACTGACAATATAGCTGAAAATAAAACAATTGGAGCCGTTTTGACTCATTGCTCCAATTCTTCATAATTTGCCCCCATAACTTTGGGTCCAAGGTGAGGTTGAACATCATGGTGAGGCGCATGTGTTGGAGCAAAGCTATTTGCTTCATGGTAGCCAGGGACCGGAGTAGGAGCACGAGAGAAGGGGCCCTCAAGGAGCTATTCCCTTCAACAAGGCTCCCACCCCCAAATTATGAACCTACCAATGGATGAAGTCAAAGACCCCGGGATCCATTCACTACCCAAAGCCCTACCTGGAGCACTGGGGATCATGCTTTCAACATGTGGAACTCAAAGCAGAACCCCAGTTGTGAGTGCAGGTTTGTCTCTTTCTCCATTTGATTACTTTGGTCCTCCTGTGTCTGAAGCTTGTTACAGGCACTTGCAGTTCCAGTTCAGGTGTCTTCCTGGGCAACTGCCCCTTTCTTTTATCAGTCTGAAATGATCTTTTAAATTATCCTGTTCTCTTGAAATCGGCTTCATCTAGTATCACTGTAGTTACTGTTAATATGATACATGGTTGCAGTGCATTTTCATTTTTGGTAATATTTAAATTTTTGTATTCTAAAATACACAATTTCCTATTAACAGTAGGCAGCTGTGCTAAGATCATCGATCCTTGATTTCTCGTTTGAAGGTTTGTTTTATTTACACTTAGGGTGTTCTGGGTTTGGCCACTTCAATAGATGAGTGCTGGCCAACTTTTTTCATTTATTTAAATGCGGGGATACAGAGATCTGCAGATTTTCTTTAGTGAAGTATTTAATTAAGATCTTTTGGGTCATTTTTTTTTCATCTGGCTGTTCATTTTCTTAATATTGAATCTTAAGAGAATACTATGGATAACAGTCCCTTAGCAGATCTATCTTTTAAAATACTTTGTATTAATCTATGGCTTGTCTTACTGTGTGTGTGTGTGTGTGTGTGTGTGTGTGTGTGTGTGTTATGGAATGTACTGTGAAGGCCTCCTTCTTCTCTCCGTGTCTGGTCCAGTCTGCTGGCCATGTTCAGTCCACCACTTCTCTCCCTGCTCTGGACTCCTCTGGACAGCTGTGCCCCCTCCCCCACACAGTGACAAGAAACACCTTCCTCTCGACCACACCTTGGAGCAGTCTTCACTTTGTTTACTAGAGATACAATTTCCCATCTTCCCTGGGCACTTTAAGATGCTGCCTCTGGCTCCTGTTGTTTCTAATGGGAGATGAACAAGAGTTCCTGTCTTTGCTCTCTGTGTGCTTTATTTCCCGTGTGGGGAATATGTGTGCCTGTACAGAGACCAGAGGTTGACACTGAGCATCTTCCTGAATTATTCCACCTTAGATATTTCAAAGAAAAGTCTCTCAATGACCATGGAATTCACCAATTTGACTGGCCTGGCTCACCGGTGAGCTTTGGAGATCCTCCTGTCTGCCTCCCCAGCTCTGGAAGGACAGAGCATTCACCACCACACTGAGCTTTTTGAAAAACCTGCGTTTTAGGGCTGACTCAGGTCCTCATGCCTACATGGAAAGCACACATCCCCATGCAGACACACATAACAAAAAATGTCTTTAAAAATAAACAGTTTATTAATTCTCTGCCTGTGTATGTTTATGAGAGCACACATGTGAACTGATTCTCTCTCCACTATGGGTCCTGGGGATGAAAGTCAGGTTGTCAGCATGCACCTTTACCTTTACCTGCGGGACCGTCTCAATGGCACAAGCCTACCTATTTTTATATACATATAGACCCATAAAAAGCTCCCGGATAAAAAGGTGCTTTAAGTGGAAATAGTTTAAAGCCTGCTCCATAGTGCTATACTGCTAAGCTGCGAGGTTCAGTGGGCTAAATGTAGTAAAGGCATTTTTTACATGTGTGTGGAGTGTACGCACACATGTGCATGTACAGGCCAAAGGTCGATGGTGCTGCCCCAGCTCATATACTGGAGTAAGGTCCTTCATTTGAGCCCAGAGCTCGCTGTTTCAGCTAGTCTGGTTGACTAGCTTGTTCTGTGCCTCATGGAATGCTGAGATTACAGACCAGCATATCTACCTAGGATTCCCATGGGTGCAAGGCATCTGACCTCCACTTCTCACGGTTCTGTGGCGGCAGCATTACCTGCTGAGCCACCTCTCTAGCTCCTAAAGATATTTTGACAGGATAGTTTCAAGATACCACGGGTTAATCAAGATGTAGCCCTGTGGTAAGTTGAAGAGCATCTGGATTAGAGATTTGGAATTTCTGTCCTCTAGAGAATAGTAACTTTTAATTTTAGAAGACCATGAAACTGTTTGGAACCAATATGCCTGTTTATCTCTGTTGCATTGCTAACGGTTAAATTCTCCGGTTAATTAGGGCTCTCCCTGTGTGGGTCTCTTCTTTTTAGAACATCTTTCATCACTTTGCAGTTGCTATGGTCACTTTAACTCAGTGTTCTCGTTCCTCAGTCAGTAAGTCTACAGATTTCTATCTGACTTTTAGTTATGCTATGTAACGAAAGTACAGCACACCCAGAGGTGAAAAGCTTTAAAAAAGCCAAACAGGACACCTTTCAAACGGCCACCCCTTCTGTGTGCATGTGCATGTGTGTGTGTATGTTTGCGCTACTGGAAAGAGCACTAACACTGGAGAGTTAAAGGCCTGAATTTAAATCTCAGCCTGGCCACTGTATTACTTAAGGCAGGCTAATTGACTTCTTACAGACCATTATCTCCATGGAGATTAGAATGCTTCCTTCACAAAATTAAGAGAGTCAAGAGACAAGGAAACTAAGGCTCAGAGGGTGGACAATGTCTCACCTGTTAAGTGGTGGGAAGTGTACTGGTCACCCCACGCCTGTTTGCGACATTTTTCCTGCTACATAATACATACACACATTGCTCTTCCCTTTGCCCATCTTTCCCTTTCAAAGACTCCTCTGAGTACCTCCTATGATCTAACTACCAAACTGGGCAGCAAGAACACAGAACATCAGAACTGCTGCTTTCCAGGCATTTTAAGTTCCCTTCACGCCTTCCAAGTGTGGCCTGCCCTACAGTTTATGCATGCTTCTGGTCACTTTCTAAATACATGGAAGGAGTTACCCTTTTAAAAATATTTTGTTCAGTTTGTAAGTTTTGACTGCCCAGGGACCAGCATGATACTATCTGCTCTGCCATTACCACAAGTGGGCTTTTGATTTTGCTATCTGGCTGCTGTTCTCATGTCAGAACTGGAGATTGGAAGACAGTACTCCTGAGAATCATCTGCCATTTGTTTCAATGGTGAAATGATACGGCCTAGGCGACTCTTGCCAGAATCTCCACTTAGACTACCTCTCCTCGGGTTCTAGCTGTGAAGGTGTAAGGAACCAGCAGTTAACCATCTTCCTCCCCCACTCCATACCTGATGTCGGCTTGGCTATCCCCCGGTCTGGTAATGCTCCGTACTTCTGATGCTGGTCATACCAGTCACTCACCGTCATGGTTGCCAGGCTTGGATAACCAGCTCCAAATACTCTGCAAAAACCACATTCCATTTAGAGAACAAAACAAACAAAGTTAATATCGAACAGACTCTTCCCTCTTTAATGGCGAGACAGGTGCTTATGTTTTTCTCATTCCCCTACATGGAATCTTTTGGGGACCTGTACAATCTCCTCCAGCCATGCAGAAAAGGGGGCATCCATAAGGAAGCACTAAAGTCAAGAGCATTCATGAGATCGAGAGGGTAGATAGCCCAGGGTCATCTCCCGGTAGGCAATCCCAAGGGCCAGCACTCCACAATGACACAATTAGCAATTGACAGGGGCGGTTCTGAAATGTGGAGAGAGAATACTTTCCTGCAGCCCCGTGGAACAGCGTCAATAATGCAGAATTAAATCACAGGCAGGCAGGTATGTCCTTCTGAGAGCTGCTCACGAAGGCAGGAAGACTGTCAATAATAGGAAAAAACCATAGAGAATATGCAATTCTGCATTCGACTGACTGTTTTCTTTCTGCATTACAGCGGCTTTTTAAAAACCTGGTGTGAAGGGAATTCCTGAGGTCAGCCATGGAGAAAGGACCAGGAAGGCTCTTGGCCAAAAGAGCATCATTCACAGCCGAAGCCGTGACTTTGAAAAAAAAAAAAACCCACCCATGTCTGTTTTGTAATTTACCAGAGCATTGCATGGAACCCTCAAAACTGGGCTGCGAAGGCAGGGCAGTCTGCAGCACTACCTACTTGGCTTGAGCCTTGTTCCGTGTGAGTATGAACGGTTTCATTGGAGGCTTCTCTGGAAGAGATGAGTGAGAAGTTGATTCCTAAGAAGAAAATTAATTTTAGAGGTGCATTTGCCATTTTACACATTTTATCACATAGGCTTTCAAGTCTTCTGGTGCTGAGAAAGCTCTGCACTCAAAACTCACTCCCTTTCTGCTGCGGGAGCTCCTTCTGCTTCTTCAGCCAATAGCCTTTAAGATACCAGTCCACTTGGGCGTGGTCTCTTCTGCTTTAAAATGCAGCGGTAGCCCTTCTCTCTCTTTCTCTCTCTCTTCCAGCTACTAGACTCTGTTCCTGGACGCCAGAGGGCTGTTGTCTAGGACAGTGATCTGTAAGTTTTCCCTTTAAATACATAACCCCTTTATTAATCATAATTCCAAACTGGTGTGGGATTGCTTTGTGACTTACGTCTACACCTTTCTATTATGTGTCTTTGGTTTCCACGCATTTTTTTCTTGTGGGGGAGAGTTCTGCGTGAATGTCAGAGGATGGTTTGCAGGAGCCAGTTCTTCCTTTCCATCATGTGGCTTTTGGGGACAGGCAGATTATCAATCGTCTTGATGGCTCCTTTTATTTATCAGTCTTAAGGGGTATTAAGTACTTTGCCAAAATGAGAGAGAGCCAGTCCTCTCAGGAAAAAAAAACCATTTGGTTTCAAAATAGGCCCATCCAAAAAAGGAAATTCTAAAGCCTACTGCTGTGTCCCACATATACCCCTGAGCTGTGTTCCTTCAGCCTGACCTTCTGTGGAAAAGAATTAAGACCTTTCTTCCAAAAGCCTTTGCAAATGTAATTATGCTGTTAATTTCTGAGACACTTTAGTGTATTTTAGAGACTGATTCCTGTCTGTAAAGGGAGAAAGGGCAGACCAGCCGTTCTTATATAGAGGTATACAGACATGCTGGAAAAAAGTAAAGATAAGGAGCCAGATGGTGGTAGTGCACGCCTTTAATCCCAGCACTCGGGAGGCAGAGGCAGGCAGATCTTTGAGTTTGAGGCCAGATTGGTCTACAGAGCGAGTTCCAGGATAGCCAGGGCTGTTACACAGAGAAACCCTGCCTCGCAAGACAAAACAAACAAACAAACAAAAAAAACTTTAAAAAACTTTAAAAAAGGAAAAGTCTGGTTAAGTGAAGGTGCTCATTTGGTTTTCATGTATTGCTTCCAGAGCCCAACTCAATACCACATGAGAAGTGGTTTAAAAAAAAAAAACAGACAACCAAAATACAAAACAGACAACCTAGCAAGGCAGGGACAGGGAAGGACTCAGAAGAGCCTTAGCCTTGAAATGCTAGAAAATCCCATGTGAAGGACCAGGCTGGTGTTTTCCTCAAGTGAGAGCTCCCAGGCTCATGAGGACAAGGCAAACTAAAAAGCTGCTGTGCTGAGGACCCGGATCAACTACTGTGGTGGCTGATCAAGTCAGCTCATGTTGAATCCTGTACAGAGAGCAAGCGGCCACAAAGCATATACTCTTAAAGCAGCTCCGGGACGGGGGAGCACAAAGTTACTCTAAAGCTCTTCCACAAGATTGCTTAAAGTAGTCTTCTGGGCATTCTGCACATGAAGATGGCCCTGGTGCACTGGCTCCTACCTGGACGATCACCTAGTCTACAAGTGTGCAACTGGTCTATGAGTGTGCAACTGGTCTACAAGTGTGCAACTAAGTTCTAAGTCTTTCCCGGGCCTAAACTCATTCCCCACTCCTTTGCTTCATCTTCCTGGTTTCTCTCCTCCTCTACTCCCCCACTTACTCTAATGCTGGCCTTTCCCTTCTCTACAATAATTAAGTAGATTATAACGGCCCCTCCCTCCTTAGGCCTTCTTTCCACAGTCAAAACCAGTTCCAATTTGAAGGAAAAGTACTTCCTTATAAATAAATAAATAAATAAATAAATAAATAAAGTATTTCCTTGCTACCACCCAGTTACAACTAAGTGCCTTAGATTAGTAGAGAACCATGGACGGCTGCCATAAGGAAGCAGAAAGCTACCCTGGCGAACCACCAGCCTTTCTCCACTTATCCTAAAGTCAACAATGTTTTTACGAAGACCTAGAAAGATGTAGTGTTTGCAGTGCTGAGTAATAAAATGAGGGCTCTGTCCATGCTAGACAAGTTCTCCATCACTGAGCTACCTTTCCAGTGTTTTCTAATTTTTGTTGTGAGACCTTTTGTTTTGTATCTCAAGTCACTCCTTTGGATTTGAACTCACTGTGTAGCTCAGTCAGACCTCAGACTTGGGATCCTTCTGCCTCTAGTCTCCCGAGTAGCTGGGATTCTAAGTGTGCACCACTACATCCAGCTAAGGCCTTTGATTTGCGTTCACTCCTGCAGAATGTTCGAACTTCTGGCGGCAGCTTTCCATGGCTGTGTGGGCAAAGACAAGGCTTACCTCTCTTGGAGAGTCTTTTTCTTTCAGGATCTTTATTTCCTGGTCAATGCTTTCAATTTCTTCTAAGCTGATACCAATCCACCTCCGAAGGTGAAGGAGGTGATATTCACGAACACGCTCATCATCTGCTTGACCACTTTCCACAGCAGATTTCAGTGCAGACAACCTATGCTCCACCTCCTTCTTCTGCTTGTATCTGTTCCACAGAAAAGCATCACCCATGAACTTACACATACAGATTTCCTCAAAAGAAGGCAACAGTAAGGTCTGCGTTTGCAGCTGTCCAGGCAGTATGTGTGCCAATTCCTACCTTGGAAATAGTCTACGATCTAGGAATAGATTCTATAATCCAGAGCCAGTCCCCAGATTACAAAGCAAGAGCAAGCCTAGGCACATCTTGATTTCAGTAAGCCCTGTCATTATCTTTCAGAATGAGATGCTCTAGTCATCCGGCCATATCAGTCCTCACTCTGCTGGATGCTCAGCGCCAGAGTGCTCCCTGTAAGTCCTCCACTTCGAAGATGAACCTTAGAGGTCACTGCTTACCTGCCACTGATGCAGGCCTTCTTATAAAACTGTGGGGAAGTTGGTCAGTCATCTTTTGTCTTTCATGCAAAACATTCCTGAGGTAGATCTTCTGACTTGTCTCTACCTAATTTTAAGAATCAATGATCTTGACCACCATTTTCCAGGATGCATTCTAGTACCTCCTCTAGCATTCATCTGTCAATTATCTCCAGAGTGTGGCGAGCACTTCTAGTGCTGGGGACAGTTTGTAATAGAAGGCCCCTGCTTTCAAGCAGCTCTCATTCTAGTGGAGGAAGGTGGATCCAAGGGAACAGATGACAAGCTGGATGAGAATACACGCTATGGAGCAGTAAGAAGCAAGGTGAATGGAGAGGAAAACGGCATGGAAGCAGGCATGCTAGTATACCCAAGTGAGCAGAAGCCACCCTTCAAAGAGAAGGCCTGAGCAAAGCCATCAAGAAAAGAAGGCAGCGTTGGAGTGATCCTGATACCGAGAAGAGGAAGGGGGAAGCAAATGCGCAAGGAGAAGGAGCGTCTAGAATAGACAGAAAGCAGGGAAAGGAAGCAAGGTACCAGCACAACCTTAGGGAGACAGCAGCACAAGTGGCAAGAGATGGATGCATTAAAATAGGAAACAGGCAATAGTTACTGATGTGTTGGATGTGAAGGCTTGCAACAGACAAGAACCAAGTAAAAATGCCATGGTTTCCAGAAGTCTATCAAAATCCCTCTGCTTGGAACCCCCATTCTTACTTCCAGAATAGGAAGCTGTTCTTTGGGGGTACCTTGATAAGGTCTTAGCTTCAAGTCGATGGAGAGTTTAAGGTGAGGAGGGTGGTCTTTGAACTCCTCAAAGTTTATACAAACTCTACTCGGATGCATTTTCTTCTTCCCTTCCTCTGCATACATGTGTCTTCCTCTTCTCTCATCTCCTCATTCCCTTGCTTTCCTTTTCCATCTTATTTTGTCAAGAAGAGGTTTGATCCCAAAGCCAAGGACCACTGCACTGTAGACACTGTTATAAAAACTTTTAGGCTCTTCTTTAACCCAACAAGAAAGCATCTTGTATGCTACAGCATCACCATATGTAGCCGTCTGGGTAAAACAATACAAAGGCCAATTCCTAGCTCAGGAATGCTACTACTACAATTACTTGAGATTGTTTACTTGGCTCCACAAACAGCTACTCATGCTCTTCCATGGAGGTGCCTATG